AGGCCACACACGACCGAGAAAGGAAAGAGCAGCACCTGCAGCAGCAGCAGCAGCAGCAGCAGCAGCAGCAGCAGCAGCAGCAGCAAGCAGCAGCAGCAAGCAGCAGCAGCAGGAGGAGCAACAGCAACAAGAGCAATAGCAGCAAGAGCGACAGAAGCAGCATGATGAACAAACGAAGCAGCAAGAGCAGCAGAAACAGCAGCAGCAGCAGTAACAGCAGCAACAGCAGCAGCAACAGCAGCAGCAACAGCAGCAGCAACAGCAGCACGGGGAGAGCGGCATATTCTAATTCTGAAGACGCTAAAGGGAATTTCGTTGGGTGTGTTGCTGCTGCGCTTCATGCTGCAGCAGCAGCAGCAGCAGCAGCAGCAGAACTGCAGCAGCAGCAGCAGAACTGCAGCAGCAGCAGCAGAACTGCAGCAGCAGCAGGACAGCAGCAGCAGCAGCAGAACTGCAGCAGCAGCAGCAGCAGCAGCAGAAGACAGAAGACAGCAGCAAGGACAATCCATACCTGGTTGATTCCTCGATGCGATAGTTTTGGTGCTAACAGCAGCAGCAGCAGATGCAGCAGCAGCAAGCTGCTGCAGCAGCAGCACCGTCTGCAGCAGGGCCCTACGCACACCCTGGGGGCCCCCCCCCACCACCGCAGGATTAATAACAGTATTTAAGCTGTCTATTACTATCAAACCTATGCGGGGGGCCCCCCCTAACCAGGGGGGCCCCCCAACCCTTGGGGGGCCCCCGTACCCTGGGGGGCCCCCGTACCCTGGGGGGCCCCCACCCCCGTACCCTGGGGGGCCCCCGTACCCTGGGGGGCCCCCACCCCCGTACCCTGGGGGGCCCCCACCCCCGTACCCTGGGGGGCCCCCTGAAGGCGGAGGGGGGGCCCCCAGGGATGATAGGAGGGGGGGGGCCCCCTGAGCTAGGGGCCCCCCTGTGTTTGTGTGTGTATGTGTTTGTGTTGGTGGGGTTGTTGTGTTGTTTTTGTTTGTATATAGAGAAAGGAGACAGCGCAGGGTTT